CTCAGGCAGTGTTCTGCCTGGACGGGAAAACAAACGCATGGACTTGGGCTCGATGCGTCGGAGCCTTCACTACTGCTTCGCGAACAGCGAAAGGGTCCGACGTGCACCAGCCGCTGCAAGCGCGGTGGCGCTTACTTAATACGGGGAGCTCCTGTGGGACCCGAGGACACTTGGCTCAGTGTCTGCGGTGCTGCGGCGGACAAGACTGGCGCAGGAGGGAGCCACGTGTTGAAACAGCAGTGCCCTCATCCGTGCGAATCTTGGAAGTGTCAAGCCTTGCTGCATGGGCGTCGAGATCTGGGGCAGTTCTAGCGGGAGTGTCATACTGAAAGCCATCCGCTCTGAATTGGCAATTGAAAAACGACCGCGCGCAGCGCTAACACGAGTGTAATTTCTTTTTAGAAACGTGAGCCATCCTCAGAGCAACGCGAGGTCACGATACTGTTACGTTCCAGGATGTCCAAGGATTCCAAGATTTACGAACGTTCCACACGATCCGCATATTCGAGGGCCGCTAGATATTCTCGCACATCATGGAACGCATCCTGAACCAATCCTATCATATCTTGATTGTCCTACATCAGTGTGTATGAAGGAGATGGTGTTTCCCTAAGATAGGTGCGCGTACACCCGGTGAGGAATATGTAACGCATCGCGCATCCCCACCAGCCCATCAGAACCGGTGCTCAGACGAGTTGTCAGGAGAAGAATGGTCGAGAAGCAGAACGATGCCGAAGTCTTGCAATTCTGGATTTCGAGATCCCTGGGGGCTTCTCGGATCTATCTTCGGATTCACCAGCTCTGTTTCTGGGCATTCAAGCCCCTCTGGGGGCTCTGCCATGGTCCAGTTTGGGATGTTTGGCTTCCTCTCGTTGCCATCTAGATGATTGAATCATAGAGGAAGATTTCTAGATATGTCGATCTCCTCCGATACCTATCAATATCCGAGAGGGATGGTATCGATAGATCTGTCAGAGATCGTTGCCATCTGGATCGATCGATATTCTCTTAGATCGATCGACCTATCGATTTCCTCTTAGATCTATCGATATCCTCTCGGATTCTAGGAGGGTATCGATGAGCGAAGAGTGGGCGGCTCAATGCAGCCCCCGCACCTCTGGAGCCACTGGAGCCCCAAACAAGCGCACCCTGGGGGCCATTTTTGAGACTTGTGGGGGCATTCTCTGGACCACCCTGGGCCACTCCGCGGGCACGACGATGCTGGCAGTTTCTAACGCATGCAGCACATCCTCGCGGGCGACGATGGGGGAGAATGGCTCAGGGGTGGGCAGTACACGCATCCCTCAGGGAGCCTCGCCGAAGGCATGAACCATCGGCGCCCCACCGGAGGCCACGCTGCCGCAGCGTGGGCTATACGGTTGGTTCGCGCCGAGTTGGCGCGGCGGTAGCCCCAGCTCAGGCATTCACGGTTGAACGCCGCCAGTGGCCCAGAGTCGCAAGATGTCGAGCGATCTACGGTACGCGAAAGCCGCGATCGTTCAAGGTTGAAGATCCACACGGTGTCAAAAACCAATCGTCGTCGTCGACGTCGTCGTCGTCGTCCTCAATGTCGTCGTCGTCGTCGTCGTCAATGTCGCCGTTGCCGTCGCAGTCGCCGCTGTTGTAGCTATTGTTCCATCTTGCAGCCATCCAGGGCCATCTTTGACGCTGCAACCCGTCGCCGGGGGCCTTCCAGACCCAGGGCAGGGGACCCCCCCCACGCAACCGCACCAGCAAGCTTCGCCAACCCACCCCTTGGCCAGAAGCCCTCGTGCATTCTCAGAAGTTCTCTGTGTCTTCGGGGAAGGCGTAGAAAACCCTAAGGCTGGAGGCTGTCCGAGCCTTCTGAGAAGGCCCGCCTCCTCTCTTCCTCCCTGGGCCCGCCGCCAAGTGTTGGCGTCGGCAATGCAAGACAAGGCGAGGCGGCCGACAGGGAAGCCGCCAATCTTGCACGCGGTTGTCGAAGATGGTCCAAGATTTTCCCCGAAAGGCCTCCAAGAGGTGGCTACGGAGACTTCCCCGGATGGCCGCGAGAGGCCAAGAACCTGCAGCAACCAATGGTCTTTCAATGAGTTTGGCCTTATCGTGTTCTTGCTTCCGACATGAGATAGTAAGGAGTCAAGATGGCCCCCGGGTCGCCCAAGAGAGGCCCCGGAAGGGCCCAGGGGAGCCAAGATGGGGCCAGATGCCCGCCAAGAGGATTTTCAATCGGGCCCCAAGAGTGCCCAGGAGAGCTTTCAATCGCGAAGGGGCCGTGCTTCACGCCACGCTGGTCGCAAGACGGTCACAGGAGGGCTCTTCAGGTTCCGGGAAGCTCTAACATAGCACGAAGAGACCCGATTAGGGCCCTGAGTCTACCCCAGAAAAGGTTCAACATGTTCCCAATTGGTCTGGATGCTCTCTCTCTCTCAGTTTCTCTCCCCCTCGCGCTCCGCGGTCTTTGTAGCATCTTGGTCCAAAGTCTCCTCGCGCCCCCCCTCGGCGGGCGCCTTATGCAGGCGCTCGCTCAGGCGGCCATAGAGGGAGCGGGTGAGCTCCAGTTCCGCGGCCTACGAGCCGCGCTCAACGAGCGGCTCGTAGGTCAACCTCTCTCTTCGCTCGCGGACCTCGGTATCTCCTCTGCGGGGTCGCCGTGGTCCTGTCAGGCCGACCCCAGCG